AAATTCTGTGTTTTTCTGTCAATATGGGGTGCTGTGTGTACATTAATGAGGAAAAAAATGAACTTAAATGATTTTAGCATATGGCTGCAATATAACAAAGAGTGAAAAATTTAAGGGGGTCTGAATACTTTTCGTACCCACTGTACATCAGCTGTTAATGGTGGCAGAGATGGATGGTTGGTAGCTCAGCCTTCCAACACAACCACCTCTCAACCTACAGACTTTGTTTTATTTTTTCTAATGTATTTATTTGTTTAATTTGAACACTAACATAACTGAGTTCACTGTGAGGGCTGAAATGACTCAGATTAAGAAAATTCAGTACTCTGGCCAGGTTGCCTGTGCCTCGAATTGGATTAATGTAAAGACAGCAGTTACCTGACGAATGTTAGCATAGAGCCCTGCCCTCATTTTAATACCTTGTCTCTACAGTCACCTGCCTTGTCTGAAGCTATGCTACTATCGTACAGTCATTATCCCGGGTGCCATGCACAATTTTTTGTTTTGGGGACATTAGGTGTGTGTGGAGCAATGCAGGAGCTGGAACATTCCTCACATTAACACAAGAAACCAACAGAAAGGTCACATTTCCATTGCCAGAGCTTCAACTGCAGCTATTTGAATCTCCTCATATTCTTCTACACTGGTTCTAAGGCAGCGACTGGAGAATCAGCTCCACCAGCTGTTTCTCTCCATCAGTCAGCTCATGTTCATGCAGCAGGAGCGAGTGGAGATGGTCAGTTTTGTTTTAACCAGTATGTGGAAAACTGCACTAAACTTGGATGGACGCTCGATGACATCAATTGATTTTGCTAACCGATTATCCCAAATAAAAGGTCTCTGTCCCCTGCACGCGCTGGAAACAATCATTAGTATCAGTTTTGATTTTAAATTTGCTGCTTTTACTGATCACTGATAATGATCTCTGTATGTTAAAGATCACAGTGGAAGCCAGTCTTGCTGTGTGTGTGTGTGTGTGTGATTTAATGCATCCCTGGTCCTCTCTCCAGGATGAGGGCTGCTGATTGGCTCGCGGTTCTGGCGTTCCTGCCGCTTGTTGCTCTTGCTTTTCATCCAGACATCTGCACCACCAAACCCAAAGACCTCCCTCTGGAGCCGCACTGTATTTACCGCAAGCCTGACACAGCGGACCCAACTCAGGAGTCCCAGCCGGTCCCTGAGGACCCAACTCAGGAGACCCCGCCGGTCCCCGGGTCCACCAACCCCCGAGTGTGGGAGCTGTCGAAGGCCAACAGCCGCTTCGCCTTGTCACTGTACAGACAGCTGGCTTTCAGCAAGAGTCATGAGTCCAACATCTTCATGTCCCCAGTCAGCATCTCCACTGCATTTGCCATGACCAAACTGGGAGCCTGCAACCAGACGCTGCAACAGATCATGAAGGTCTGATAGAGAAAATCACATCAATTAACACTGCAGCCAGGAAGACTCCTAATATGTCTTCACCTGATTTCAAAGAGAAAATGCCATTATGAAAAATATAATTTTCCTTAGAAACATTCAGACGCAAAGGTCCAGTTTAATGTAAGTCACAGACTGTTGGACAGATGCACGATGAGAAGTCTGGTCCACATTCAGACTGAATTCAGTCAGAACTATATGCATCTTTTGTTGCTGTTGTGATGCTCTGGGACAGATGTGCACCTGAGATGCTCAGCATTTGCACAGTCGGACTATATGCTAACAGACACCAGAACTAACACTGTGCAATTCTGTCTGCAGGTGTTCGAGTTTGACACCATCAAGGAGAAGACATCGGACCAGGTCCACTTTTTCTTCGCCAAGCTGAACTGTCGTCTCTACAGGAAGAAGGACAATACCACTGAGCTGGTTTCTGCCAACAGGCTATTCGGAGATAAGTCTTTGGCATTCAATGAGATGTATCAGAACATCAGTGAGATGGTGTACGGAGCCAAGCTGCTGCCACTCAACTTCAAGGTAGCGTAATGTTCACCATGAGAAATCAGACACATGACAGCGGTCACACTGAAAACCTGAAAACCCTGGTTCTGTGCTGCAGGATAACCCAGAGAAAGCTCGGGTCACCATCAACAACTGGATCTCCAACAAGACGCAGAACCGGATCCAGGACACTCTGCCACAGGGGGCACTGGACTCCACCACCATCCTGGTCCTCGTCAATACCATCTACTTTAAGGTACCTGGCACATGCAGTCACACCTGGAGACTTAAGGTTGTTCAGAAGGATTCTGAGGATAATGCAGCGGATCTCTTGGTGCTTTGGCAGTTCTCATTTAGCTATGTATGTTTCCCTGCTGAGTTAATACCAATGTCTGGCCTTAATGTCATGCGAATCATTGCACTGGAAATATGTGGACATGTTCTACACTTATTTACCCCGTTGCAGCCACAGGGGGCAAATTTGAGTCATTTTTACTCTAAAATTGGCCCAAAATGTAGGACGGAGCTCACGGGCCAGAAATACAAGGCAGGAGATTGTTTGCATATGAGAACCTGTGCTGCTCTTGACTCTTAGCCCTCCTTCAAAATGAGCCTAAGAACAGAATCTACTGCAAAGGAGTCAACAGCTCCAAAAGAAAAGCAAGATCGGTGAGCAGCCCAAAATAATCGGACTTTGTTTGAACTTTCCTTTGTACTGTTGTTTCTGCCTCTCAGGGCCAGTGGAAGAACAAGTTCGACAAGAATAACGTCTTTGTCTCAGACTTCCATGTTGGCCCGAGTCGCCACTGCTCAGTGAACATGATGTACCAGGAGACCAAGTTCAGGTATGGGTACTTTCCTAGCGACCATGTCCAGGTCCTGGAGATGCCATATCGCAGCAGCGACATCACCATGGTGATCATCCTGCCAAGCAGAGACACTGCACTCAGCGAGGTAATCCTGATTATCATTCAGTGAGGGTTTAGAACTGACGGGTTGGCATCTCAGATCAGAAAACGCATGTTTGTTTTTTTCTTCCCCATCCCACCCAAGAAAACATGAACAGCTCAAACAACACAAGAGGCTAATGTATAGCTAATATTTCCTGAGTTAGTGATGTAATGTTTTGTTAACCATTTGTCTATAAAATGTCAGAAGATAGTAAAAATCTGTTTAGTGAGTCCAGTGACGTCTTGTTTTGACTGAGGTTCCTGTGATAGAAAACGTGCTAACATGTCATGTTCAGATTTTGAGTCACCTGAGTGTGTGTTTGTTGCTTTGAGGTGGAGGAGAGTTTCCACCTGAAAAAACTGACCGATTGGTTGAACGCGATGGAAGAAACCACTGTGTCGGTCAACGTCCCTCGGTTCAGGGTGGAGGACAGTTTCAGCCTGAAGGAGAAGCTACAGGCCATGGGACTGACCGACCTGTTCAGCCCTGAGAAGGCCAGCCTGCCAGGTGCCTGAGCTATGTCCACTTACCTCAGTCCTAAAGCCAAATCTGGATTAAGACCATCAACCTGGACCAGGCACTATGTAGATTTTCTCTTTAAGTGGCTTATCAAGTGAGTTCAAAGGTACATTAACAGTCTGATAACCCCAGTGACAGTGGGACAGGACGTGGTGTCTCTCAGTGAATTCCCTCCCCCCGACCCCCCCCCCCCCCAGACTTGCAGAAATGTGACGTCTTCGCCGCTTTGCCCGCAGTCCGCTCACTGAAGTTCTCGTTTGACCCCTAAACCAGTGAGTGAGGTCCTTATTTAGTCGTTACAGTGGCTTCAGACTGGTGACTGCACAAGTTGTTGCTAGGAAATGGGATGTGTCAGTTTGAGTCTCATGGCGGCTATAAAAATTAGTGAATGCACCTTTTAATGACAGAAACAGGTCAGAAGTTAGATTCAGTTTAGACACTGCTGGTGATTTTCTCTGTTTGATTCCAGCACATTCACTGGTGCTGCTGGTTTCTGGACAGGGTTTGGATGGAATCACACAGACACATAGAAAATTATCAACGCTGTCCTTTAAGTGTGAGAAACCTTTTCACTCAGCTGTGTGTGTGTGCTTGTTCCAGGGATCGTGGAGGACAGCAGTGATGGTCTGTACGTCTCTGATGCCTACCATAAAGCCTTCCTGGAGGTCAGTCTGATACTGATGACTTCACACTCTGTGTATATGTGTAGACAGAGATCAGGGTTGAAGTTGTTGTTGTGTTTATTGTGTCGTGTTGGTTTTCTTTTCTTTTCTTTTCTCTGTCCTCTATCCACTCCCCCAATCCAGTCGAGGCAGAAGGCTACCCACCAAGAGCCGGGGTCTGTCGGAGGTTTTTTTCGTTAAAGGGAGTTTTAACTCCCCACTGTTGCCAAGTGCTGACAGGGGGATTTGTTTCCTCTGTAATAAAAGTGACAACAGTAAGGTCTAAACCTTACTTTGTAAAGTGTCCTGAGACGACTTTTGTTGTGATTTGGCGCTATACAAATAAAATTTGATTTGATTTGAAGTAGAGGCTGAATCCAAATGTTCAGATGTCAGAACCCTCAGATTTAACGGGGACATTCCCAGGAAGTCTGAGCATAAATACCTCAAGCTCCTTTTTTTTTTTGTCCTAAACTATCCCCATTTGTTTATTACTCTCACTGAAGTGCGTACATTCTTCCCTGGAAATCTGGATATAAACCAAGTCTAGAGCGCTGCAGAACTGGGTCCTAATGAGCCTGTGTTCTGGTCCCCAGGTGAATGAAGAGGGCAGCGAGGCATCAGCAGCCACCGCCGTTGTGGCAGTTGGACGCTCCATCAACTTAAACCGGGAGGTGTTGCTGGCTGACCGGCCATTCCTGTTGCTCATCAGAGAGTCGAGCATCAACGCCTTGCTGTTCATGGGCCGTGTGGCCGATCCCTGTGACCAGCAAATGCCCCACAGAATCTGAGCTCAGAATCTCTGAGATGTCAAAAACTAAATCTGAATTTTCTTGTACAACAACCCAGCTAACCTTTTACTTAAAAAGCACCTGTGCAGCCCTGTAAACTACTGGTACAAGGCCTGCATCCTATGTCAGTAGAGAAGTATTGCCAACACAACATAGTTCAAGTACACACACTAGTAAAATGGCCCCCATCGGTGCCATGATCAGATTATTGATCCAGTCATTTTACTGTTGGAGCCGCTCCAGGTAGAGCTGCTTTAGTCCAGTGGGTCCCAACCTAGGGGTCTGGCCCCTCCAAAGAGTCACCAGATAAATCTGAGGGATCATCACATGATTCATGAGGGGGAAAAAGTTCTGATTCACTAATCTGTAGTTAGTTTTGTACATTTTTTTTCTTATTCTCTCTCCTTTAGTGAAACACTTGCATACTCGTTCTTTGGATTATTAAAATAAAACCATCAGAAAGATTTAAAGAGAATGTGACCCTTTATTCTAGCAACTCAGGCTTCGGAAGGGGCACAAGCCAAAATGGTTGATAACCACTGGTTCATCTTTAACAGTACATTGTATTTTATAAGATTATTATATGAAGTCATCTGAAAAATAACTTTGACCCATCAGTCAGGTGCAGTAACAAGTACAACATTTGCCTTTGAAATGTAGCAGAAAATGGGAAAGCTTAATACAGAAGTACCACAAAATTCTACTTAGTGTAATTGGGTAAATGTTTGTACATCACTTTACTGTATATTCAGTCTGTGGGTTGGTGTTGGTCAAAGACGCAGATTCATGTTCCCAAGTTAGACTTTCCCATCAGTGTTGCTGCAGTTCCACTGAAATGAACAAATTTCACTGTTTTGTTTTCTGATCTGACTGACAGTTAGAAGGAATAACATTTGTCCTAAGTCGATTTGCCAGAAACCTGCAGATATTCGTTACGTAAACTGCAGGTTTTTTGTGTTTTGAGAAGGTAGCATCAGGTGTGTGTAGCCAACATCAGACCTGTTATGCAGAACAAGGGGGTTCAACTAATTGTGAGCCAGGGACGACCATTCTGACGAAGAAGTAACCCGAGACTGACCAGACAGGCAATATTTTAATCCTGCAAGTCATCTGGGCTTTTCTAAATCTTGTGTACAGTGGCAAGAAAAAAAGAAATAGTGCACCACTTGGACTGGCCTGGTCTTCAACATGAATTGGTCATAAAATGTGATCCAATCCTCATTTAAGTCACAAATATAGACAAACGCAATGTGCTTAAGCTAATGCCACACAAACAATGATCAACTTTCATGTCTTTATTGAACCTAACCATTAAACAAAGTGCTGGTGGAAAAATTAATTGAACCCTTGGATTTAATAAATGGTTGAAGCTCCATTGGCAGCATTAACCTCAAACCAGCGCCTGCTGGAGCTGTGGATCAGACCTGCTTAAGGATCAGGAGGAGTTCTGAACTGTTCCTCCTAACAGAGCTGCTTCAGCTAAGCCAGTCTTATGACATCTGGTGTAAAAAGAAAATCCATAATGCAGAAATCCTGCTGATGATGGTCCAGAACTACTCCACCCTATGTTTGCAATGAAGAGCTCGTGGTAGTGGTTTCTGTGGAAGCAGATTTCACACCACAGCTACGCTACAGCTGAACTGTAGATAAAGAAAGACGCAGTGCTGCAGTTGGACACTTAAAGTGCTTTATTCCCATTGAAGGAGATGCGACCTGTGAGTGATCTAGTGGTCATAGTGAAAGTTTCTTCACATTTTTCTAAACTAGTAATCGACCTTTGGCCTCACACCCCCACCCCTCCACCAACACCTTTTAAAACATGCAACATAAAAGAGCTTCACAAAAAACCTTTCAGGTTCATGTGCAGAGCAGGTTTAGTACCTCTTTAAAATGTACAGTATTAAATGTTATTTTACTAAATTCTTTTTCCTTTGACTCGTTTCCTGCTTCGATATATTAGGATATACTTATCAATGGTGAAGCGTAATCTCATGAATGCATCCAAATCATTAGATTTATAACTGGGCTTCTTGTGGTCGCGGTTAGTGAATAGTCAAATAATAAACATTAGATTCACATAGTATGTAACATAAAAGGCCAGAAGTCAAAACATGAAACCAACATTTGGTATTAGTTGTAAAGCAAACCGAGCCAATCGGAAGAACCGACTCAGACACGATGAAGACCAGAAGATGACAATGAGGTTGGGCTGTTTTCACAGTTTGAAGCTGAAACTGAATTGAGGAATCTTCAGAGGAAAAGTCAGATTCAAAGTAGCAAATTTCTGATTTTCCCTGTTTTGTTTTGTTTGTTTTTTTTCCCCAACAAACGGCTCCAAAGACTACGAATGGCCGTCACTTTGTACAGTGTCTGCAGTGAGACTCGCTGGTCTCTGCTCCACCAGCTCCTGATGCTGCACACAACAACGTGCTGGAGCTGTGTTGGAAACAGACAGCCTCCTGTGTTCCCTGAGGAGGAAACCTGCCCCCCAGTGCAGCTATATGGCTCACTGGGGGGGATTTAATAGCTGGTGGCCAACAGTAGAGGTCTACGGCACAGAGCGATGAGCTGGACCAGGGTCTGGACTCACATGATGGTGAGGACACCACACTCACTGGTGCTGCTGGTCTCTCGACGGGGTTTGGGCACACTAACACATATAGAATCACTGTATCCTTAGATGACCCTAAACCCAGTGTGACCATACTGACAGATGATCTCCCCCACAGAGAAAGTTCTATTATGAGGACTTTATCACAGATGTGACTGAAACTCAGTGACAGTTGAACCAGGCAGTTAAACTGTCGCTGTAATCTCATGTCTTACTGTATCTCTTCTGAGGAGGAGACATTCAGGGAAATGTAGTCTACAGGTTTAAATCCACTGAAACGCCTGCCCAGTTCAATGAAATAAATCTGGTGAGACTGCTTCTGACTTCCTGCGGGTCATAGTCTTTTCTCAACAAACACCTTTAAAGGTAATAAAAAGTCTTATTTACAAAGGTCCTAAGCATCCTTCCAGCCTGCCATAGGCTGTAGTGTTACTTATAAAATGTTTTCCCTGTATGTGTAACTGACGTTTTTTTTTTTTTTTTTCAGGCTCGACAGTACATAAAATCTATTATCTTGACTTTAACTGCTTAACCCTTTCATTTTCTGCTGTTTAAAGCTGAGACATGCTGGAAAAAATGTAATATACAGTTGAAGTCAGAAGTTTGCCTACGCTTAGGTTGATGTCATTAAAACAGATTTTTACCGCTCCAACCCTGACCCAGTTCCACCAGTTCTGTAAGGAGGAATGGGATGAAACTCTAGCAACTTACTGTAAGAAGCCTGTGGAAGGCGTCGTGAAATGACTGACCCAAGTTAACCAGCTTAAAGGCAAGGCTACCAAGTACTGACAGTGTATGTAAACCTGTGACCCAGTGGGAATGTGATGACAGAAAAACAGATTAAATGAATCTTGTTCTCTAATCTGACATTTCACATTCTTAAAGTAAAGTATTTATGGGATTAAATGTCAGGAGCTGTGAAAATCTGGGTTTAAATGTGTTTGCCTATGGAGTATGTAAACATCTGACTTCAACTGTAAATGTGGGTACATTTGTGCATTTGGTGAATAGTCTTAAACCATATAATCCTCACTGATATATTTTAATCTTTATAAACTGCATTTTAAGTGGTGGAATTACATTTTACTCTGTGAACCTGCAGAAACTCTGGATTTTAAATTGTAGTGGAGAAGGTTTTTCCAAAGATCCCAAATACAGCAGATGTTTCAAACATTTACCCTGGAACTAAAAACATGGTTGATTATATCTGCAGCTCCAGTTTCAGGAGAAAATCAGAAATCAACTTTGACATTTTAAAAAACCTGCTAAATTGTACAGATTATAACCAAACCCACAGTAAAAGTCTAAACTATATGAAGAGTTCAGCCTGAACACAACTGATCCGACTTTTCCTTCTTAACAGATTCCCTAAGCAAAACAGACCGGACCAGAGGCAGCTACTTCTTAACTTAGACTGGCTTGAAACAATGCACTATCCCTCCTGCTTTACCACACTCAGTGCAGAGAGGAGAAAGGTTTTAAGCCTCCGGCATGCTAAGGACCAGTTCCTACTGGTTTTCTTTAACCAATAATGTGTTAATAAAGCTTCAACAGTGATGACAAGAAAAAGACAAATCTGAGTGTTTCCAAATCCCCAACAGGGAACCGATCATGTTTGATACTTTGCACTGATGGACTCGTAGACATTTTCTCTCGCTGCTGCACTCAGTTTGTGTGTGTTGGAGCTGGGCGACATATGGAGCTTTCAGTTATCAGGTCTAAATTCTGTTAGCATTTCTTATATATTGCAAATTATGATTAACAAATTTGCAAATGAACATCACAAACAATAACAGAACAGAACCAGATATCTACTTGGAATTTATAAAATACATGCTTTAGGCTGCTCTCTTCTTTTTCCAGGTACAAGTGCTGGAGAATAACAAAAGTCTTGCACACCTGACTGTTCTTCAGCTTTAACGTTAACCGACAGTTTAGGTGAATAATTTCTGGATAGGTCACAATGTGCAAATTTGTCTTACTTCTTACTCAAGCAGAAATGCCACAGTTGTTTTGATGTGAAGATTTACAGATGTAAATGAGGTTTTGTGAAGCGTGAACACTTGTATCTGAAACTAAAACCAAACTCACATTTGTAGAGTTCTGTTAAAAAAAAAATCTGCAGTTTTCCTCAGCTGAAAATGTGCTGTTCTTTTACACGTTTTTTGAGTCCAACATAATTCACAATGTTCATAAATCAGAGACTGACACAACAAGGATGAAGTGGAGGTAAGGACCATAACCCTTCAAACTGTCAGAAGTTTAACTTACACCTGTCAGCCAATCAGAAAACAGTATTTTCTGTGGCCCTGGTATATTAAAAGAGGTCTTGTGGTTATCATGAGTGCTGATTTTTGTTCCATATTGCCCAGCCCTGCTTTGTGTATTTATCACCCTCTTGCAGGCATTTCCTACCTGCTGCTATTTACAGGCAAGTTTTATTTCTCACACAGAGGTTAGCATTAGCATTCTGCTACGTAGGGAACTTCTAATTCACTGAATTAAAGAAAAGAGTCTGTATACCTGATAATTCCTGGCTTAGCCTGAAGAGTAAGCACGGCAGCGCCGGTGTGATCTGGGAGGAGGGACAGAGCTGCTGGCTTCACTTGCATAAAAATTTACCATCCACTGAGAATCTGATTCACAGCTCTGTAGAAAAACAGTAACAGCCGATCCATGTGCTACCTTCCATACATCTGAATCCAACTCCTAGTTTGTTTACATATACAAAAACATCTTAGTAGTTTAAATATGTTTGTATAATAATAATAATAATAATATGTGTAGACTTTTCATTGTTCTGTTTTTATAAAAAGTTTGTTTTGGACCCCGTCTCTCTGGTAAGTGCTGAAGTGGTTTGGCATTTTGGAGGACCAACAGAGCCATGCCGTCCTTCCTTTGGTTGCCAGATGGTCCGACCTTCTCCCGCCCTCTAGCAGGTGAACTCTGACCTCTGGAAGTCTCTCTCTCTTATTTTTATTTTTTATTTTTTGAAGTCCAGCTCCATGGCCTGGCTACTACATCCATCTGGTCTGACAGGGTCCGTCTCCTCACTGGGTCACTACTGGATCAGTGTCAAAATAATCAGAACTATCCATCATCAATGATGCATTACCTCTGCTGCACCTGTACTCTGCAGGAGATCACTTATTTCAACATATTTATCATTGGATGCAAACTGTATTCTGATTGGGCATGCTAGTTACCTGTTAACCAGCAAGCTAACATTAGCTAAACTGAATTTCACCGTTTTAAAAACAAACATTTTCCTTTTTCTGCTTAAACATAGCTCTATTATAAATACAGCATTTAAGTTTAGACCTGGAAGTCAATGAGCAGAAAAATTTATAAAACTGAAAATCTGTCAATTTCAGGTAGCTAATTGGGTCACAAACACTAGCTCTTATAGCAATGCAGGTTTATGTGCAGAATGAGTTATAATATAAAAATGGATACAATCAGCAACTGAATGTTAGCTAAAATAGCATTAACTCCAAGGCTTATAATAGATGCGAGCCGCTGGAATATAAATTGTACCTCATAAATAAGTAAAATTCAGTGAATGGATATAAAAAATTAAAGCCTACGTCAAAAAGGCTTCAGTTAAATAGTGTCAGCTACTGCTCTCACAAATATCAGCTGTTAGTGACAAATGTATGGTGTGGAATAAGCATACAAGCTAATAGTGAGGTTGTGTGTCTGATTTAAGAAAATTTAATCCTAACTCATGATTAGAATCAGCTAATTGTTAGCTAGGCAGCTCACAAACATTATGGTCAGTTAGATTGCACGTGAAAGTTATTTTGCCTGCCTACGGGGTATTGAAATTCAAAGTTAGCATCAGCTAACTAGCTAGGAAAATCAAGGCTAATTTTAAAAAGTAACCATCAGCTAAAGAAAGGCAGCGAACTAGCTCACAAACATTAGCTCTGTTAGCAATACATGTATATGCTGTCAAATTAATTACAATAGTTGTGAAACCAGTATACAATTTGCAAATGATGAGAAAACATAAGTTAGCTTGTAAGCTAACACGAACATGACTTGCTTCCATTTTTGATGACAGCTATCATTCTTAATAGCTATTTTTTCTACCTCTTCTCCCTGATATATTGAAAATGATTTATCAAATGTGGCTTCTACATGACCTTTTTCATTTTGTTTTTTTCTCTATAGCTGAGACGTGTTTGGAGTTGAGTGCAGCAGATTTAATTCAGATTCACTGTGACAGACGTTACTGATTAGGTCATGACACCGTCTCTTCCTCCAATATGAAGCTTCTATCACACACATTGTCGGAGCAAAGTGTCCAAGGGGGAAAAAACAATAAAGACATGCTTGTTTATAAAACTATCTGAGAAGACTGACTGAGATCTCTGAGTGAATGATCAAAGCGCCCCCCGGTGGTGCTGTGCAGTGGAGTGCAGCAGCTGTATTGCGAAGTGATGAGAGGTAATTGAGATGTGTAGCTTATCTGAGGCTGGACGCCGTGCAGTTTTTCCTGCGGTGAGTTTGTTCGGTCAACAGGGTGCCAGATGGTCCATTCTACCAGAGCTTTAAAACTGACATCAACTGCCACAAAACTCGACAATAATTTGAAGAATGTATATTGATTTTACAGCCAAATTGACAATTAAATCCGGTGTGATTGGAGTTGTTCACTTTTTATCTCACTGTGGTTTTAATGTCCGTGCTGGTACGGCCCCCAATTATTAGGTGACTAAAGTCTAGAAATTAAAATCACTTGACACCTGAGCTGGTTCTGTTCACTGCAGAACACCATGAGATACAGGTGCAAGCTTTGGGAATAGCTAAGTAAACCAATATTACAGTTAGAATATTTATTACAAACTTCAGAGGCAACATCTTAATGCACTTTTTCTGCTTTGGATTATTATTATTATTATTATATTTGTTTTGTTTAAAGGTGTATTAAATTTCTTTTTAGCCATTAGAGAGTCTAATGAGATGCAAAATTGACAGCTTGTTTCCTAGCAGTAATTACGGGTGCCCGGTTGGGCCAAACTACAAAATGCAGCCACCAGTCCAAGGCTACCATTAGCTGACTAATCAATCCTGGAAGTGGTGGAGGAGCACAGTGTTAAGTGACGAGGTTAATGAGACAGTCCTGGACAAGCCCAACAAAACACTGACGTTACACAAAGCTCCAGTTCCTCCCAAACTAAAATCATATTAATTCAACACAAAGGTAAAATCCTGACCATGCTGGGTGGCTAATGCTACCAAAACAAACAGGTTAGCTTTAGATGCTAACACATCCAGAAGAAGAACGCCACATCTGAATCCAGTCTGAGTCCTCTGGCTGCTTTTAACCCTCTCCATGTCAAACAGCCAAACCCATGTTAACCCTGGTTGTTGCTCTTTCTTTGTCCCACTCTCTCTGTGCAAAAGACCCCACCTCTTCACTCTGGCAGCTGCTGGTTCAGACTTTTAGCCGGCCACAGCTCCTCCGTGGCTGGTTTACTTGAGTCACGGTGGCTGGAAAAACCCTTCTTCTAACCTTGGCTAGGTGGCAGGCGGGA